GGATGACACCACAACATTGGAATCATGTGGATAGCAAGGGTACCATGTGGGAACATGGACTGACGGTGAACGGCCGTGTGTGATAATAATTATTAAATTTGTTTTCATCATCGGAATATTCGGGAATGCCTTCGACTTGTTTTCTCCGCCAAAGTGTGGAATACTCGTCTTGCTTTGGTCCATACCGTCAATAATGATGCATAAACTATTGGAACCTAGTCTCTTCGACTCATTCTTCCACACCTCATAAGCAGTACGGTGTTGGAGATGCAAGTCCAAGTGTTTTTCTCGTTCCGAAACAAAATACTCACGCACATGTACGAACTTCGCATAATTGATAGATTCTTTGAACTCAACACACTTCTCGCATTTTGCAAAATTTTGATCAACTTCATGGAATTTCACATGCCAGAAGTGTATTCTCCACATATTATAGAAAACTTGGAGAGAAATAGAAGGGACACCAGGTTGTCAAATTGTGACTTTAACAACTTATAAATGTCAACCTTGTTATAGCAAGCAGGCAATCTCAAAACCACTCGTGATTCTCCATCTTTGATCCTCATGTCATTGGGCATGGAATCTCCATTGTCGCACACAAAGGAGCTTAGTTTCCCGTACATCGTCGCATATGTTGCAGATGTGCGTCTGAGTCCAGTGCTGCCATGCTCCGGCATAATGTAACCTTTTGACAAAGTCATCCTCTTTTTCAAAAATGTATTCCTGCACACACCCAGTGTGAAACACCATGCACTAATGCACATCTTTCTTTTTCCCACAATAGGTTGTACAATCTCTTTCTCATTTTCCACGAAGGTGAACCTCTTTAACATTTCAACCCACCATGCATCTCTACTTTTGTGATCCTTAGAGTAATATGCACTCTGGACAGCTTTGATGTCTTTCATGGTCATGCGAGCGCAACAATCTTGTTTACAACAAACTTGTCCATGCACACTTGCCAGTGCTTTTTTGGTGAGCTTTCTGCGAACTGTTTGCAGAATCTTCTTTGACCGCGACATTCGGACACGGAAAGTATAAGGACGCTTCTCAGATGACAAACGTTTTGGAAAAATATCATCAAAATCAGAGATGACATCAGAATTCTCCATATCGTTGCGATAGTAGAGGTCAGTGCCATCATTATCGTAAGTTTGTGGATGATCAATTTTGTCCGAAGAACTGTCGACATCGGATGACATCAAAGCACCTGATTCCGAACCATCTTCATCACTCTCGCAAAACAGAAGGCCTGTGCACTTGAAATCTCGTAGCGAACTTCTCAGCACCCACATGATACGATCTACATCGGATGTGTTCCTGTCACCGGAGCAGGCCCTATCCTGACCTTCCAAACCTTCTGCATCAGAGGTTTTCACTGGTCCGCCCAAGGCTGGAGATGCACTTTCGCATGTGGTTTCTTCACATGCAGCCATCCGGGACCTTTCATGATCAGGAGATTCTGGAGTTATTTGAACGTCTTGCGAAAACATTGGCAGGTTCGGCGGAGGAAATTCATCATTAGGCAGTATATTAGATGCCACACAGTCCATGCTTTCCAAGTTGTGTTGGCAGCTTGCCGTGGTGCATGCCCACCACAAGCCATTTAAAACGTTTTTGCGATGACAAAACAGTGGACCACTAGCACAAGACATGTATATCAGTAACAAATCCGCAGCTAGATGGATCACATGCGGTATATATAGAGTGCAACACATGTGGTATAGCGCGACCACCGCTAGCCACACACAGCTGATGTAAAAGATCAGCCCCGTGAAGGCGGAAAAGAAAACACTGTCTGCAACAGAAGTGATGCACGAGAGACACGTCGACCGGCTCGAACATGTCGACCGACTGTGTGTTGAATACGACGACCGATGTCGTGTTGAACAGCCGCCGGTTGTCGTGTTGAACGCGATGATCTGCCACAACGATCGTGTTGAATACGACGACGCATCATCGCATTGCACAACACGACAGGCGCACGCGGTGACAACCACCGTCATCGTGTTTAACACAACGGCGTGGTCATGTTCAACATGTCCACGCTCAACAGTCGTTGTGTCGCGCCCAATACCCGTCCATGCACGACAACCACCGCGGTCGTGTTGAAGACGAGGATGAGCGACCGTCGTCGTGTTGAACACAATGGTGCTTTCGAGGTGAACATGTCCTCGCTCGACCGTCGTCGTGTTGAACACGATCACCGGCACGGCGGCGAGCCACCACGGTCGAGTTCAACACTACGACAACGACCGTCATCGTGTCGAACACGACCGTCATTGTGTCGAACACGACCGTCATCGTATTCAACACGACCGTGGGGTCGTGGCGAGCCACCGAGGTCGTGTTCAACACGATGACAGCGACCGTCATCGTGTTGAACACAATGGTGGGGTCGTGTTCAACACGTGGTGAACATGTCCGCGCTGACGGGGGGAGAGGGGGTTGGCGGGGTCGCGGGGACGGTGTGAATTTTGAACTCACCTGGGTCAAAGGAGGCACGAATCGGAGCAGCAACGCACCTGCCGTGGCGGAGCAACGCAACTGTCTGTCGCGTCGACGTGAAGGTGACACTGCACAGGTACTTTTCTCGGGGAGCAACGCAAGGAAAAAAACCCTTGGATCCACCTGCGGAGCCAATTTAAATAGTCGCGGAAGGCACCGACAGTCGAATCGTCACCCCCTTGGCACCGATTCTCCCCGCGGCACCGGTTTTCCCCGTACCCGATCCTAGCCCTCAGCCGACGGATTGATGGCCCAGACTTTCCCGGGACTCGAAACGTCGCTCTCGCAGCACCGATTCCCCCGCGGCACTGGGACCCGAATCCACACCCCGCAGGCCTCACTGCTGGACACCCCAACCGTCAAGATCTCGCGATTGGACGGCTGTGCTGAGCGTCCTTCCCTCCACAGAAAATACAAATAGTGGTATGGGCCCACCATTTTCCATTTCTGGAAGTTTGTCGAGAACAACAGAGTGTTGCGGAGGTTCTCGCGCATCATCCGAATTCGGCAGAGCGCTCACTCGCACATCGGAGGCTCGCGCAGAACGCAACAGAGCTCCCACTCGTACATCGGAGGTTCTCACAGCATCGGAGCGAAGTTTCGAGCATTCGCATCGAAGGCAGCAGCGGAGGCCTGGGAGAACGGTAAACCCCCGTGAAGCGACCACGTGCTGCCACGTGGCATTTCCGCCCGCGCAGAGGCCGTCCTCGAGTCCAACTCGACGGTGGACTAGCGCCAAGGCCTATGGCCATTGTCGTGTCGAACTCGACAATGGCCTGCGGTCGAGTCGCACTCGGCTACTGTCGAGTCGAACTCGACAACGGCCTGCGGTCATCGTCGAGTCGGACTCGACAATGGTCAGAGGCCTTGGCGCTGGCCGACCATCGAGTTCGACTCGACGACGGCCATCTGGCCATATGTCGAGTTCGACTCGACGACGGTCGTTTGGCCACTATCGAGTCGAACTCGACGACGGCCGTCTGACCACTGTCGAGTCGAACTCGACGACGACTGTCTGGCCACTGTCGATTCATCCGTCGTCGAGTTCGACTCGACAATGGCCAGAGGCCTTGGCGGTGGCCCACCGTCGAGTTTGACTCGACGACGGCCGTCGGGCCATATGTCGAGTTCGACTCGACGACGGCCATCTGGCCATATGTCGAGTCGAACTCGACGACGACCGTCTGGCCACTATAAAGTCGAACTCAACGACGACCGTCTGGCTTTGTCGATTCATCCGTCGTCGAGTTCGACTCGGCAATGGCCAGAGGCCTTGGCGGTGGGCGTCGGGATCGACTCGACAGTGGCCAGAGGCCTTGACGCTGGGCCGTTGTTGATTCGAACTCGACGATGAATAGGCGTCGATGGCCTTTGTCGAGACGAACACGACGATGGCCATCGAGTTCGCCTCACTTGTCGTTCTGTGTGTCTTCTCCTTGTGTATTGGACATTCGCAATGGCTCCTTGTTGTGTGTAACTGCAATGGCTCCTTGTTGTGTGTATGACATTCGCAACTGCGATGGCTCCTTGTTGTGTGTGCACCATTGGTTCGACCTTAGCAATGGCTCTCTCGTTCCATGAGTGTTTGTTGTGGTCGTCAATAGTTTGTGTGTGTAGGACATTCACGATGGCTCACTGGTTCGATTACTCGTTCCCTTTGAATGCTAGCGCGCCGTACATGCGGGGTTCAAGGGAGGCGACTACTGTACTTGGGGCTCGAAGAGATGACTTCGAATCGGACCCTTGGATGAGCGTTTTGCCCTGGCTTGACAGACCTTTCGATGCATGGTCCGAATTAGACTGGGAGAACATCATGAAAGACTGCCCATGGGCGTCTGGTTATCGACTTGCCTCCAACCAGGAATGGGGGACATTCATCTTCCTCGACCACATCCTCATGACGAAACACACGCCGAGGTTGTCTGCAGCATTTCATACCCGAGGCTTGTCTTTATCGTTGAGTGCGCACAACGTGTCATGTTCGCCGCGCTTGAGGGGACCATCGATGAAGGAGGAGTTGTTGGAGAAATATCCCCTTCCCTTCGAGGACAACTTGACAGGGAGTGTGTCGTACTTCTGCGTGCGTGTTGAACTCTGTCGTTTCCCTTTCGCTAGGGTTCTGTGTGTTTCAGTAAGAAATAGAAGTAAGACTTCAACGGAGGCAGCTATTTACGTATCCAGAAACGAGCTTATTATTGACGGGGACATGATAATGTTACCGCATGGTTATAAGAACAGTAAGATTGACGTCAAATTGGCGGGGCAGGTTGACGCACCCCGGCATTGGGAGGAGGTCGAGTAGTACGTGACGGTCATTCGAGACGCCATCGGTCACACTTTAACCAGAACATGTGGTTTCGTCCGAGCGCGATACGTATCTCGCTTTTCCGCCTCTGCGACCCTGTCTAGTCCCCAGCTCCTGACGTACGGTTCGTCCTTGAACGCACTGTACGGTTTCGGGGCTAAACAATAGGCGAGGTCGTGGGAGAGGTCGTGGGAAATGAACAGTGTAAGAAATGTGAGTTATTCAGCAAGAGTGTGAATTGAGACTATGTATGTTATGGGAGCAGTAAGTTTGATGTGAGATTATCGATGCTGATTACATGCGTTGAGACTGTGTATTGCTCGTTGTGGGTGCCGATTGCATGCGTTGCCAATTGAATGCTTGGAATTGATAATGGATGTAGGCTTTGAATTCTGAATTGATAGCGGTCCATCAGTTGAGAGCCGGTTGCAGTGTGCCTCGATTGATGTGACTTATTGGATACGCCGCTCCCATTTTCTGTTTGCCTGCTCTTGGATATGCCGCTCCCGTTCTCTGTCACGATGGCCAGCAACGATCGAGTCGAACACGATCGAGCTGGCCTGAAGGGTCGCGCTGGCCCGCCACGTTCGAGTCGAACTCGATCGAGCTGGGCCATGGCCCACCACGATCGCGAGCACGTCTCTGGGTCACGAGCACGATCGCGATCTTCTGGGTCACGCTGGCCCACCACGATCGAGTCGAACACGATCGAGTTGGCCCGTCACGATCGAGTCGAACACGGTCGAGTCCAGGCGATCACGATCGCGGCTGAATTGAACACGATCACCGTCGATTCGAACTCCATCTCTGGGGCTGCCTTGCCACGATCGAGCTGCGCTGCCTTACCACTATCTAAAACGTTTCACTTTTCTACTCGTCGTGCCATGCCAATGTTGGGCGACCTTCTGATTTTTGGCTTTGCGGTGATGTGTTGTATTGCTTTCAGATTCGACAACGCTGCAAAACATGGAACGAGAGGGGAAGGAAAGGAAACGAGGAGCAAGTAAGAGTTCTGAGAGCATGGAACAATCTTCAAAAAAATCGAAGGGGACGCCGACCGCTGGAGGGGGGAGTCAGGAGACACCGGGGACTAAGAGCCAACGCACCCCGGTTCCGCAGGTTGCGCCTTCCACAGGCACTCCGGTTCCACGGAGTGGGCCTTCCACAGGCACTCCGGTTCCGAGGGGTGCACCTTCCACAGGCACTCCGTCGACTCGTGTTTGGGGCTCTGGACCGGATAAGGCTATGTTGATGACTGGCGGGCCTGCGGGTCAGGAACGTGTGCCTGGTCCGCGGCAGGGAAGATCTGCAGTCGACGTTGTGCCCAGACGTAAACCGTCTGGTGAAACGACTGTCGCGGGTCGACGAGACGATGTGCCCGTGGTTGATCACAAGGACAAGTTCAGGATGTTGGACTGGGTGGGGGAGATCGGAGAACCATCGAGTGACCTTGTTCTATACATGGTCATAAAAGAAAATATTGTACCGGTTGGGGGCCTGGTGAGGTGGACTGGACAAGGTGCACCGTCTGCAATGTTCGAGTTGAGGATGGTCCTGTATGGAAGAGGGGAAAGGATGTCGAATGTTAAACACGTCGCTCTTCGATGGACAACTCACGCAGGATATGGCAAGTCGCTCGTTGACGTATTCAACACACCAGAGAGTACGGAAGTGAAGTTGCCTGACCTCGTCGACGTCCTCGGGTTTTTTGACAGTAATGTAATCGCGGGCGAAGAGTCGATTGTGCATCGAGAAGACTGCATATCGGAGCCTAAATGCGTGCTTTCGAAAACCGTGGAGACTGGGCTTTCGATCACGATCCGCGACACACCACCGGCTCCGAAAGCTGGGCAGATTGGAGAGAAGGGTCCGTACCGCGAACTGGTCGTGCCGTCAGCCCCTGTGAAGTCCAGGCCAACGGCAACCAAAGCACCAGTTGCCTTGGGCAGCCAACCGCGCTATGCAACAGCCACCAAGGGACCTCTCCCCTTGGTGGGCTTGCAGCGGTGCGACTACACTGTGCCAAGCCGCGCAGAGGAAGCCCATGAATATTTTGAAGATGATGATGACGAGAACAACGAGGAATATTCGAAACGAGCAGGAGGACAGGAACAGTATGCGGTGGGTGTCGGTGACATGACGAGGCGCTATAGGGAAACAAGTAAAGTGGTTGGACAGGATGAAGACACTGAGCACACTATCAGCGAATTGGGTGGAGAGGTTGGTCTGATAGGGGGATATGGGGGTAGCGACGAAGGATGTGAGGGGGATGTGCATCCAACACGAGGGGGAGTGCACCACGAGACAGTGACTGTGACTGCGCATACAAATGCTACAGGGCTCGCCGAGCGAAAGAGGAAGCACAGACAGGAGAGGAGAAGTGCTTTGGATAGTAAACGGAGTAAGCAGGAAGCGGGTCAGAAAAGACAATTGAAACTATTGCCCATGGATGAGGAGGTCCAGCGCACACGGAAGATTGAGGCGGCCATGAAGAAAAAGCAGCAGCCAAATAAAAAAACGGCAAAGGGTGGTGTCATGGAAAAAACTTCCGCTTTTTCAGCAGAACAACCACAATCGGATGAAGAGGCCGAAGGCAAGACAGTTACTAGGCCGCCAAATTTGCGAAATGTGTCATCGGAGACTTCTTCTGGTGTTTTCATCAAAGGATTCTTCCTTGAGTTGGACGAGCATGGGAAGCAGTGTCCAGACATGGAATTCATTTCTGTCAAGTTCGACAGAATTCTAGATATCCCCGACGGGTAATTCAGATACAATCAACGCTATCTTGTGCAACAGACGATTGATGACATTTATGACGCAATGGTTGCATCGGGTGAGACTGCTATCAGAGAGAGAACGACTGGAGCTGCCGGTGTAAATGTTTGTACATTGTATGAAAAACATGTCCTTTTGTTGGTTGCCCTCCGTGATACAATGTATACTGACGCTTCAGGGAGGATTGTGAGAGCAAGGAGGGTGTTGCCCGATGAATTCAACCTCGGCTCTGTGAACAAGTACTACTACTACCCTCTCAGCGGTTAGCATAACGTGGCGGCGGCAAGAAGGTGTTTTGTTGAACGCCCTGACATCGCACAAGAGCTCCGATTGGATCGTTGGACTGCGAGGCCTGTTTATTATCCGAGCAAGAGCATGGACAATTACGGCACGCTGAACACTTTCCAGAACGCCAAGGACAAATGGAATACCCCACCGCACCAGATCGTGGTCATCTAGAACATACGGAAGTTGTGGCACGCATCGAACTGTCCTGAAGCTAAAGGCGGTTCTGTGGCGGAAGTGAAAAATGCAGATTATAGAAAGTTTGCAGGAGAGGCTCTTCGTTTGATCGGGATTAATCATTTGGTTGACTTGTCCCTTACTACTCAATGGAGCGGCCAGTGGTCCGACGCCCTCGGGCCCTACATGTTATTGGCAAGGACGACAGATGACGTTTTCGAAAAGGTGAAACAAGTGTACGCCGCTTGGGAAGCTGGACAATTGTCGAGGAGAGATGTTGTGAAGCCTGCTACCAAACAAGGTGAATCAGGGAAGGCACCTAGGGCTGGACCCAGATTTGAGTTGAAAGGTGGAGTTAGGCTTCCGGTACACTTGGTTAAGGGTACCAAAGGACCGGGTTACCTCGTGGCTGTGCACGATGCGGATATCAGAGCGTGGAAGCCTTTTTCAGCGCTTGGGAGGCGTGTGAGCGGCTTCAACTGTTGTGAGACATATTCTCACAGGCAATGTAATACTGACTCCTAAGCAAAGTAAAGCTGCTCAAAGTGTCGGGAAACATTCAACGGAGACATACGGGGAAATGGTGAAGATTGAAAGAGCAATGTTGAGGATATTTCACTTCTTCATCTTCATTTCTGACCCTCACAGGAAGTCGTCAGAGTGGACGGAACCATTCTTCGACAAGCTTTCCGATGTGTTTGATAAGTACCGTGATCAAGGATTGACGTCCGAGAGGTGGATCGACCAGCGTCGCCATTTTAAAGACATGAATTGGGTGCGAACGTTCCCGGCTACACTTGGAGGAGAGGAGGAAAAAGGAGAAGAGGGCTTCAAGAAAACAACATCACTTGTTGCAAAGTGCCCCGAAGAGTTCGTGCAGTTTGTCAACAAGCTGCTGCGCAAATTAGAAACCAGGGGTTCGCAAAGCATAAGAATGTCGGGCACGGCGAAATATATACATTTTCAAAAACAGAACGTGAAGTCTGTTTTCGTCCCGTTCCAATAGGAACCAAGCGATATTTCAAACGAGATGGATTCCAAGGAAATGTATAGAGTCGTCAAACATCTGAGTTGCCACACGACTGTGCAGGATTTGTGTCACCCAACCCAGATGGGATGTGGACTGAAGAAGTCTTTGATGGTCTATGAAAGTTCATGGGAAAACTGGGTGGTGATTATTGGACATTATTGTGCTTCGATCCGCGGTTTTGCGAGTTTACATTTTTCAAGCGAGTTATAAGTTGGGACATTCACTTGTTTATTCTAAAGTGGACTCGTCATCAACAAACAAAGGCGAAGCATTCATATAAGGTTGCGAACTTGCTTTTGGAGGACACAGACAGAATGGTTGTCATCATGTACTCCAACGATGGGGATTATCACCGCAACACTATTCCCTTGCTTGAAGACATTCCAGCAAGCACTCCAGCTGCAGATCGATCATCTGGCGAGCAGGCGGGTGACTTATCAGCACTTGTGCGCAGAGCGAGAAAGCCAAAGATGTTGACTGATGTCGTGGAGAATAACTTCACGCCCACGAAGTTGAAAATGGCAGGTATGGAGCCAAAGGAGAAATTTGTGTACGAAGGTATGGAAAGGGAGTCAAATGCGATGGTGGAGACATTGAAGCATTTTTGTCCTGCGGATGAGGCGGTTGTTTTCCTGGGAAAGGGTCATGCGGCGTTGATTTGGGAGTTGTTAAAGAGTCACCGTCATTGCATTGTTCTGGAAGGGGAGAGTCTGAAGTTCGAGTTTCTCGTTCAATTCGTCAACAGGATGGTCGTGACAGGAGGTTACTTCGCCAAATTTATTAAGCCGCCTCCTCGACATGATGAAGGGCGTGATCTCGTCTACAAAGTCGGTCAAAACATCGTCAACATTTGGGAGTTCCTTTTCGAGACTAAGCCACAAAACAGAAGGGAACGTGCATATGTCGCCATAAGGCGTAAAATGGAATCACTTCTGAGGGGGTATCATAAGGCACCGTCGGAGACGGAAGTTGCATTTCTAGACCGTTTGGAGATGATGTACTTCGACGAACACATCGGGGCGTTTACAATCGCAGCTTATGCAACTTGTTTTGGGGAAGGCTTTGATGATGAGGACTCAGAAGAAGAAAATGAAGATGGTACTTTGCAAACGGCTTTGGCAGATGAGAGGCAAAAAACTTGTAGCTCGGTTTCGCAGAAGATGGGTGCGTTGGGCACATCGTCTGGTTCTGGAGGGGCTTCAAGTATGGCAGTTTCAACGGACTAGTTACCGAATCGTCCCTCAACTTCTTCTCTTGTGCAAGCTACACGTTCTCACATGGTGGGCAACACAACAACGTTACCTTTCGGCGCAGTTCGGGATGATCCAAGGGTGCAGGCAATGCTCTCCCCAAAGGTTATTGCAAGTATGTCAGCACTCGCACATGGCCCGAGTCCGAGGGTGCAACCAATGCTCTCCTAAGAGATTATTGCAAGTTTGTGAGCACTTGCACATAGCCCGACTACTGTTTTGGAATTGCTACGCTCTCAAACTCCACAACAACCTCCGTCTGAGCCTTTTGAGTACGAGATTGGAGACAGGATCCCTCCGGATATTGCACAGCTTCCTGGACCTATTGTGTGCCGAGACGATTATACGGTGATGCCTGACGACGTATGGGGTCATCACATTATATCGCACCCCCACCACTTCCAACCTGCATTGGCAAGAGGGAACTGGGTAATGGCTATAAAAGAAGAAGGGGAGTGGCAATTTTGCCTCCACAGACGTATGCCAGAATCCAAGTTTGTCACACATGCAAAAAATCAGATTGGCAAGCGACTACTGCGACTTAATCCGAACTTCAAGGTTTCTCAATCAAGACTGGATGCAAGGAGAGAAGAAAWTTTTYAGGAGTTCAAAACATCTCGATGGCTTGAGTATCTGGAAGAGTTCTATGATCGAGAAACAAGTCCAGCTTTTGGATATAATTGGCGTATCGAATAGGAACTTCAAGACAAAGCTGGGGAAAGGAAAGGAACGAGCGGCGATCCGAGTGGCAAGGGATCAGGATCAGGCGGCGGTGCGCGTGGTAAGGGAACAAGATCAAGCGGTGGTGAACATGACAAGGGATCGGAACGACGGGGCGGTGTCAGTGGCAAGGGCCTGGGACCGAGCGTCGGTGCAAGTGGAAAGCCAATAAGTCATGGTGAACTGCAAAAACACAAAATGTGTCAAGGGCGTCAAGCAACAGAGGGAAAGGTATCAGGACTAAGCGGCGGTGCACATGATAAGGGATCGGGATCGCCTCTGGGATCAGGATCAAGCAGCAGTTCACATTGCAGGGGATCGGGTTCGCCTCTGGGATAAAGACTAAGCGGCGGTGCACATGGCAGGGGATCGAGAAGCGATGCAAGTGGCAAGGATTTGGGAGCAAGCGGCGGTGCAAGCGTCAAGGGCGTAAGTCATGGAAAACTGTTGAAATGTATCGAGGAGGTCTTTCTAGATGACCAAGTTTGGGCGACCACTGTGTTGGCGAGCGAGAGTGTTACTACGCTAGTGGATAATACTGGTGCACTTGCAGAATTAGAGATGTCATCGTTGGATATGCCAGCTGAGAAAGATGAGCATGAAGTCTCTCTAGACATGAAGAATGAAAGCGCGACTGCAGGTGCAAAGAAAACTGTCCATGTACAGGCCATCGAAGAGCATGAAGGACATATAGTACTAAGTACACGAGAGCAACATACGCTTGTACAGCCTGAACTTATGCTTGCAAAATCAGAAGCACAACAGTCTGCTAACCTCGTAATATCTATCGACGAATCTCCTTTTACGCCATCGCATGGTGCGATAAGGTCGTGTTGAAGACAAAGTGTTAGTGAGCCACCGAGGTGAGCACATACTTATCTCTAAGGGAATATCTAATATTGTATGCGGATTAGGGGGTATATTACATGCACTCATCTCATAGGAACTAATTTTTTGCCTAGGTTTGCAACCGTACGTTCGGTGATAAGAAGAAATGAAGTAGAATATTGTGTATCTCTTATTTGCAATTATGTGGAAAATTGAACTTAAACTCATAATATTTTGTCTTGTCAATCATTGTCGTTTTATATTGATGAACATGCAGGGCGACGAAAAGAACTGTGGAAAACGACGCACGTACGTTCGCAAAGGCAGAGTGAGAAGAATATCATTCGTCGTAGCTTGCAAGCCTTATCAACTTTGTCGTTATTGCCCAAAAAATAGAGAAGAAGACTTACACCCATGAGATTTTTATTTATGAAGCCAGCTGCCCTAAGGATCTTTAAAGTTGTTGGAATAAGCCTCAGAGAAGGAAAGAAATTGCATCGCGAAGGTTGCAGTTTATCTATTGTGGATGACACCTGTGATAGCGAAACAGATAGACAACTAAAAACATGAACTCGAGTCTACGTCGTACATCAAATAACGAAAAGTTCGTTTTTGTATGAAGTCTTAGTCGCTCCATTGTTGTTTATATGTGTGTTTGTATGCAGTTCATGACCCTTCGTTCCAGATTCCTTTAGCAACAGAACGCCTGACCGTAGAAGAAAAGGAG